GGCTTTCTCTGCCAAACTTTTGCATAACCACTGCGGCATCCGTAGTACAAGCCAAAATGTGACATTCAAGTTTCAAACCGAATTTGTCGAGATGTTTAAGAACCATATCTCTTATGTATAAAAACCAGCCCTAGGTTGAATACTGTTCTGTCATCAGAATGCAAGTTTATGTTTAAGTAATGACGGTTTTTTAAGCTTGTCCATTCATCAAGAGTTAGACTGAATATGCTATCAGAGTTTATTATCATTTGTAACTTGTTAACCATGCGTGATTCTTGTTGTTCATAATACCCTAAAACAAGTTTAATTGTCCTGCCTTTAGAGTTAGCTCTTTATGATGAAAATCTTCTCAGATGAATTTACTACGAGTGACGGCCGAATGGAAATACCGTCTTGTGCAAATAAGCGTGCAAAAATTTCGGAAATTTTAGTACAAGTTAGAAAAAAAAATTGTTATTCGCGGTCTTTTTGGAACTGGGCTTGAACTTTGTTTAGATTCAGATTAAGAAGACGCCGATATCGATGGCACTTCTTTTTCGCACGTAAAGTTCTGTTTTTCGATCTTTATTTTATGTACTTTATCTAAATGTTTTACTAAAACACTTGTTGAACTGCCTTTATAGGATAATATTTTTGGGCATATTAAACATTGTACTGATTCTTTATTCTGAATTTTATTTAAATATTTCCATGCTCCAGAAACAGATGTATCCATTTTTCCTATGAAAAGTAAACAATCGATTCCATCGAATCGAAACCATCGAAGAAAACCGACGATTAGTAAAATTTTATAGGTACTAGATACAACTTTTTAATATGTATTTATTTTCGATTTAAAAAGTAAAAATAATAGTATAGTTTAAGCAAATGTTGATGATTATTTTGATATAAATTTTACGTCAAAACGATGTAGAACTTCGGAGATAATGGTACTTGTATCGAAGCTTTTTCGGTCCTGTCGATTTTTTTCCTTACGTGAAAAGTAAGGTAAGTGTAAGTAGGTAGTAAGGTAAAGTAAGTAAGTTACGTGATTATCATAGTATACAATATTTGTAAGATAAAAATATTTTTGATGGTCGATATTCAATAGAATCTACAAATTAGAGCTCCCAAATCATGTCTCTGCGAGTTTTTGCATAACATATATCAGGTGAATGATTATTACTAAGTAAATAAATAAGTTATCTTAAATTTTCTCTGAGCTTATTTTAGTAGAGAAAACGAACTATTTCTACCAAGTAATTGTTATTTCAAGCAACGCACGAAAAACACAATTTCAACGCGGAAACCTTGTAATTTCGTGTTTTTTGTAATACTCCTCTTAATAATATTTAATTAAAATACTTACCGTTCACCGAACTATAATAGAATTGCCAACCTAATATTTCCTACACTCCTATAAAAATAATAGAAATAAAACTTTTTAATCAACCTACAACGAAATAAAAACAGAATACGGCAACACATTGAGTTTATAGATCAATGCGGCAACATTACCAAACCTAACCTCAAATTTACTGCATTTTAGTAAAAAAACTCAACGCCTTGAAAGCGTCGTCTTTTTAAGAGTTATTTTAATTGCTTGTACTGCAAATTTGCACATTTTTTTAATATTATTTTGAAGTCGCTACTGAGTAATAATTTTCCGAGAATTTTGATGAATTATTCCAACAAAGCGGGTTCGCGGGTCTGACAATGAAATAGTCGTCAAAATCAAAGATCTGAAACGTCTGATGTTGAATTCTAAGAGGGGACGGGAAAACAACGTGATCCGTGAGACGATTTGAGACAGTTTTCTAAAGTAACCTGTTGTCCAGACACTCGCTTTTCAACAGTAAAACCACCATTGTCTCTTGAACGGCGATGTTATAATGGGTATCCATCATGTCTTATTACAATTTCATCCACTAATGCTTTTGGATATCTTTTAGTACAACGACCGTACAACGCGGGATCTGCAATCGGATCTGGAATTTCAGCACTGATTGAACTGTCTACATCATTAGGTCGAACCTTATCTTTTAATCAAAGCAGGATATGTGCGTGAGGTAAGCCGCGTTTTTGCCACTCAACACTATACATGTAACACAATACATCTCCAAAAATGCTATCTTTGGTAAATAGACCTATCATTGACTTTAATTTTAAATGAAAAACTCTTGCGATAATATCATGGCGGTCATGCGGTGCTTGACCCTCAATAAGCTCCCCAGTGATTTCATCCCACTTGAGATTGGTAGTTACAGTAATAAATAATTCGGGACGTCCATATATATTTAATGCATGGGAGAATTCACAGGATGCTTTGGGTGTGTTCTGTGACCTATCCAAAGCCTTCGATTGTATTCATATTGAAACATTAATCAGGAAACTTCAACACTACGGTGTAAGAAGTGATGCTCTTAAATTAATTATTTCATATTTAAGTGACAGAACGCAAAAAGTTGTCATCAATAGTCTGAGTCCTTCCGGGTGTATTGTACAAATGGGCGTGCCTCAGGGCTCGATTCTCGGCCCCTTTCTGTTTCTTGTATATATTAATGACTTACCTTACATAGTAGGGGATAACCATGATATAGTATTATTTGCTGATGATACTTCATTTAATTTTCAAATTAGAGTTATTGAATTACGGCGAAGTAAATAATGCTATAGCTAAGTTAGTCAATTGGTTTAATGTTAATAATTTGCATTTGAATGGAACTAAAACTAAATGTATGAAATTCGTAACTCCTAATGTTAAACATGTCAATACTAATGTAATTTTAAATGGGGAGGAACTGAGTCTTGTTGATACCACCCTTTTTCTTGGAATTACACTGGACGCAAAGCTTCAATGGCTCCCCCATATATCAAAACTAGCTAGCAGACTTAGTTCTGCAGCATATGCTGTAAAAAAGATTAGAACTCTTACCAGTGTTGAAACATCTAGAATAGTTTACTTTAGTTATTTCCATAGCATTATGTCGTATGGTGTTTTGCTATGGGGACACGCGACTGACACTGAAATTATATTTATTTTACAGAAGAGGGCCATTAGAGCAATATATAATTTAAAACCAAAAGAGTCACTGAGACAAAAATTTAAGGAAATTAATATATTAACTCTGACCTCTCAATACATTTATGAAAATGTAATGTACGTACACAAAAATAAAAGTAGTTTTGCGAAAATAAGTAATATTCATTCTGTAAATACTAGGAGCAGACACAAGCTAGTAGTACCAGTTACTCGACTCCACCGAGTCAGTAATTCATTCTTGAGTCGATATATACGCTTTTACAACAAAATCCCAGAAAATACACAAAATTTGTCATACACAAAGTTCAAAAATGTTATTAAACTAAGTTTGTATAAAAAGGGTTATTATAATATTAAGGAATTTATGGATGATAATAACCCCTGGAAAGGGTGATCGCTACCAAGCTATTTCTGATTTGTCTTGTGTTGTTAATTGTAAACATGATTGTAAGCTATTATTGGAAAAAAATAGTTCCGCTGGGTTTCTTGCTGGTTCTTCCCAGGACAGAGGTTTTTTTTGCGAACCAGTGGTAAATGAAAAAAGTGACTTTCAATAAGTATTGTCTTAATTTACATTGAATAAAAAAGTTTCCGTTTCTGTTTCATATTTTCTAACGCAACAAAAAGCATCTTGAGTACGTTCGTGCATGTATCGTGGACCACCAGTAAAAGAAGAGGGTAAAATAACTAAACTAAATATGGGCCATATTCACCGTATCATTATCTTGCTGCACGGCGTCGCGAAGGTGCACGTATTTTTCAGCGCGCAGCTGCCTTTGATTAGATCGTATATAAACTAATCTTTCGGTTTAAATTTTTGCGTATATGACAACAATAAACTGATTGAATAAGCCACGAAAACGTTGAAAGTATACAAATCTATTCCGTCTCACTTGCAAGTGTTAACAATAAAATTGAAGGCATGACATCTTTTTATTATAATTAGGTGCGCCTGTACGCGGATCAATTTGGTATAAAGCGAAATTATAACTATCTTCTCTTCGAGAGTATATTAAAGGATATTGCAAACTGTCGTAAGCCCTGTGGGTTTCGTAAATACGTTGCAAACGATTGTCTCTGGAACGGATAACGACATAACGCCTACCACATTCCTGGTCGACCAATACTAAAGCAACTTCTTTCGTGGATGGAACGTTATAACGCCCAGGGTGTTCCTGAGTTGGACGCCTATCGGCATTTATAACAGTTTTATAATTGTTATCACCATCTTGAGGAAGAGCATCTAATGCCGATTTAAAACTGCATACATACGAATTAACCTGATGCAACATGTTCTGAAGTTGTGAGATAAGTTCAATATTTAAATTCGGGAAATATTGATTTCTTATATTCGAGTGTTCGTTGTAGTCGGATACAAAATATAATAAATTGAAGAAACTTAGGTTGGTCTTCAGACAAAAGGGATCCTATCAAATGATAAACCTCACCTCGTATCTTAAAAGTAGGCATGAAAGGACCTTCTGAGATTTGTTGAGCACCAAAGGATGTCAATTGAAACGCACTATTATAAGTGCGAATATTGTCTGAGAACTGTTTAGATTACACATGTTCCCCTAAAAGTAGTGACTTCAAAGGTTCCGGTGGATCTTCGAACGAAGGCAAATTTATTTTACCTCCAGAACAACAGAAACCAGCCGACTCCTTACTCCACTTTGAAGCATTACAAAAAGAACATACTACGTTCATATCGCCTATTACAGAAGATGATCTGTAATCAATTGTGAGGTTATGAGCAAACCCACTTTTATATTTGTCGGACCACGCCACCGAATTTGTAGATTGATCTTCTATGTGTACATCTAAGTCATTAAGACTATGTCGAAATCTGTCTGCAGTAAGACGGGCCTCTCGCTGTTCGTCGTTTCAAGAGACTGAATATTTTCAATTCTTAATCTTTCATTAGACAAACTTATTAATCGTTCTTGTCTCAAAGAATTGTAATATTCGCGTCCCGACTCTAATCGTTGTTCATGCTGTTATCTTCAAGAGATCGAATAATATTATGGTGCACCCTATCATTTGTCAAACGGTCTTCATATTGAGTAAAAGTTAATAAAATATGACGTTCGCGATCAGCTGTGAGACGTAATTCTCTCTCTGTGTAGGTTTCGGACTCGCGAGATAATGTATGCCATTCGCGGTCAGTTGTGATACGTAATTCCCTCTCAGTGTAGGTTTCAGACTCACGGGATAGTACATGCCGTTCGCGATCAGCTGTGAGACGTAATTCCCTCTCAGTGAAGGTTTCGGACTCACGGAATAGTACATGCCGTTCGCGATCAGCTGTGAGACGTAATTCCCTCTCAGTGTAGGTTTCGGACTCGCGAGATAATGTATGCTGTTCGCGGTCAGCTGTGAGATGTAATTCCCTCTCAGTGTAGGTTTCGGACTCGCGAGATAATGTACGCCGTTCGCGGTCAGCTGTGAGCCGCAATTCTCGTTGTGAAGAAGTTTCAGCTTCTCGGGATAACACATGTTGTTCTCGGTCAATGGTAAGCCTTAGCTCTCGTTGAGAAGAACTTTGAGACGCCCGTGAAGTAGCTCGTCTCGCTCTGTCAGCTGCTAATCGCATCTCTCTTTCTGGAGAGCTTTCATTGGCTCGAGAAGTTGAGGCACTAACTCTCATAGAGTTTAACCGATGTGCTCTTTCCTCTGCCGATTCTTGAGAACGCACATTTCTCATTCTCTTAGCTTCTCTCGAATTTCGAGTTAAAGATAATCGTATTTTAGGTGGCATTGTGTATTTTATTTTTAATCGACGGCATTCAGTTACCTAACAAAATAATCTACGTTAGAGGTCCTAACTATAGCTACCATACACTTAAAAACATCTAAATGCTTACTTAAATAATAAAACGGATCCTAAATAAATCCTTAAATCCAAAATTAAATTCTTAAAAATATATAAGTAGGTACCTAAACTACGTCTAATAGAATGAAATAACCTATTTGATATCTAGGTACCTATTTAAAACTACAGCTAAATAAAAAAAAGTTTAATTTATAATTAAGCTAATACTAAGAAATATTTAAACACTACCAAAATAACTAATACCTATTTTATAAAATAACAACCAAAGAAATCTAAAAATAAATTATTAAACGTAAGAGTAGACTAAAAGTCGCGCTGATAAGCACTCTGAGTCACTCTGAACGTCTATTCGCATCAACAGCCAAATATTGTATGAAGCTCGCACTTTTTTTGCGCCCGAAGCAAATATGGGCAACCCTCCGGAAAGCGGGGGAAGGAGGCGGTGAATGCTCATAGCATACCACGCAGCCGGCTGCGTGGTTATGTGGAGACTTTTACCCACTAAACACCGCCTTTATGGATTGGCTTAACGGTCTAACTAGAGATCTCTAAGCCGTATACGGACGCGACCCTCCTTGGCAGAAAGGAGCTCAACAAAAGGAAAAGAGTCAACCATAAAAGATAGACATATGCTGTCGTGAGATATTTTTTATATAATTTTAAGGAGAACATTTCCGTTATACATGATTTCTGTGTAGCTTTAACCATTAAGGCTGCACACGCGACGGAAGCTTAAAAATGGAGTAATTTCTCCCGTTTCCCCAACATTTTCCTTCACTGCTCTGCTCCTATTGATCGTAGCGTGATGAAGTATACTATAACCTGCCTAGGAGTATGAAGAATGATTATACCAAGTTTCGTTAAAATCCGTCGAGTAGTTTTTGTTCTATAACGAACATACATACAGACAGACAAACAAAAATTTTACTGGTTTGCATTTTTGGCATCAGAATCGATCACTAATCACCCCCTGATAGTTATTTTGGAAATATATTTCATGTACAGAATTGACCTCTCTACAGATTTATTATAAGTATATAGATTAATATTTATATATTTCTGTATGTATGTATATGTAAATATATATATTGAGTGTTTGTAGTAAATTTTATAGTATACCTTTATAAGTTTACTAGCTGTTACCCACGGCTGCGCCCGCATAGTCACTGGGAAATGAACTATCCATTGCTTTTTGAATTGAAAGAAAACTGAGTTTTATAGATTTGTCAGAGATGCAACCATTAAAATAAAACTGAGCGAAATTGATTCGTCAGCCTGTTTAAATGTTTTGAAACGCAGCGTATAGGGAAAACATGAAAATAGCCTGTTTATTCCAAATGGAATATGGGATATTTTTTTAATTAAAGGAAACTGAGCATAATTATCTGTCAGGAATGGAGACTTTTGAAAAGAAACTGAGCCAAATAAAAGATCCGTTAGAGATGCAGCCTTTTGAGTTGAAAGGAAACTGAACGTAATGGGTCCGTCAGAGGTGCAGCATTTGGAATTGAAAAGAAACTGAGCTAAATAGGAAATTTTGAATTGAAAGGGAAGATCTGTGGGAATTCTAATTAATTGATTGTGGGAATTTTGGAAAAAAAAAACTAACTGAACACTATTTTAAGACGCTACATCCCAGTGATTATCGTTTTCTAAAAGATGCAGAGCTTCACATGCTTCTCTATAAGTTGCGCATTCCTGAACGTTGACAGTTTTAAGGTCTTTATATATCCTGTAGGACCCCGAACATGGTGCAGCAGCAGTCGTAAACAGAAACATTCAAAATTAGTTACATGGACGGTATACACACGACCAAGGGCATCTGATGACTTTACACCGGGCCAATTTGCAACAGGCGCGCCTTGAATACGGCGTTTCCACTCCTTCGTAGATGTGTTCCAAGTATAATAGCGGGGGACTTCAGAATATAACAACGTTTTTGCAAATGGGTCGGTTTGACAAAGTTGAAAGAAGGCTGTTAGTGTAGTTTTTGGCGGTGTTGCAATTCTTTCTTGGAAATTTATTTCGGTGAAATGTACACGCTCTCCATTTTCTAAGTGCACAGCAAGGTGAGTAACTGTCGGGTGCCTTTCGTGTAAAGGGAAGCCAAGGAGACGCCACGCTGCCTCGTTACTGCTGACATAACGCCCTGCTTGAAAGGTCTGTACTTCATTAACGGGATTTGCCTCACCTTCACTCCTGAGATTAAATATTGCTTGGTCGCTTCCTTTATTTATGTACTTACATACTTGATTGCGCGGACTGAGCTACATGCTTCTACATTAATGTGGGGATTAAACATTTTACATAGAAAGGGCGAATACGGGACAATCCAGCTGTTATCTAAGGTTTCGAACGTTCCAGAGCAAGATTTGATTGTAACTTTCCTGCCACCATCTTCGGGAGCTCTGCGTCTGTATAAAGGGTAGCCATTGTCATTGTGCACTGTTTCTTTTAATAGCTGTTTAGAGAATTTCTTTTGTACATTATCCTTCTTTCATACATGGCGATATTGAATTTCGTGCTCCACATGGTCCGTGAATCATCTTTCGGACGATGGTATCATACAATTCTTTATCTTGCTCAGGATCCGGAATCTCGGCGCTTATTATGTCGTCTATTTGGCTGGGCCGCAACTTCTCTTTAAGCCATATTAGAATGTGGGCATGCGGTAATCCTCTTTTTTGCCATTCAATTGAATATATGAAGCACTGCATCTCTCCGAAAATTTTCCCTTTGTTAATTACATACATTAATTTTTGTACTTTTAATCTAAATACTCTAGCATCTAAATCGTGTCTGTGAGTACTTTTTTGGCCCGGCATTAGCTCCTCGGTTATTTCTTTCCATGTGGGATTGCAAGTAAAAGTAACAAAAAGATCAGATCTTCCGTAAGTTCGTACATAGGCGAATGCGTCTTGTATGTACTCATGTAGGTAGCGGAGACTGCTAACGAATGATGAGGGCAGAATTACCATTTTACCTAAATCTCTGGGGTTTACATTGGCGTCGCTATAAACTGCATTTTGTAAATGTATATAATTCTCAACGCGCAGCTTTTTTTGTTTTAAAGATATATAACGGAGACGTTCACTTTCTACCTTCACATACATGTCTACCAAAAATTGATGAAATAATTGTCTACACCGGGCTAAGAGGTTAAAATCATTTTCTCGCAACATCATATGATACGCATAAAAATCCATACATGATACTTTTTGCTTCGGAGTAGGCTCCTTTGTGACCGGGTTCATGAGTGGAATTTGAAAATGATAACCCTCTTGTCCTTTGCAATAAATCAATGGGTATTGCAGAGCGTCATAATACTTGTGTGTATCGGCTACCCGTTGCAACGTATCATTACGTGCTCGCAAGACAATGTCTCGTGAAGAAAATTGATCACCACTAATTACGGCTGCTATTTCGTTTATCAAAGGGCATTTGTCGTAGTAGGCGCAAATCCCGGCATTATTATTTCTCGGTCTACTCCGAAGGACGTCATTTGAAAGCATGAGTTATATTTGCGGATCTTGTTTAAAAAGCGCCGTGACACATTAGCATCATATAAAAAGAGAGTTTTCAAAGGTACTTCTGGTTCCCCAAGTAACTGAAGAGACACTTTGCCATTGGAACAGCACATGCCTGCGGTGTCATCCTTCCATTTTAAAACGCTGCAAAATCGACACGCCTTGTCCCGCAGTCCGATAACAACTAACCTGTGATTTTTATAATCAATCAATGGATCATAATTGATTGCTGCGTCATTAAAAATCGACCAAATGTTTCTTTGAAAATTTTGTCGACGTTCAGCTTGGAGCTATGCATTTGCATCTCTTCGCGCCTGTGTCTGTTCTGGTGTTTTAGATGCCCTTATAGTAGATTGACGTTCAGCTTGCTCAATGAGTCTGTGTTGAATTTCATCAGGTGTTTCCGCGGCTCTTTACTCGGCCTGACGTTCAGCTTGTTCGAATAGCCTTTGCTGACTTTGAGCAGGTGTTTCAGTAGCTCTTAAAGTAGCTTGACGCTCTGCCTGTTCAAGACGCCTTCGCTGACTTTGAGTAGGTGTCTCAGATGCTCTAAAAGCAGCCTGACGCTCTGCTTGTTCTTGCCTTCTCAGTTCAGCATCTTCTAAAGATTCTAGCGATCGAGCTAATCTTTTCGCTTGTCTTTGAGAAGATATACTTGAAAGGCCGGACTTACGTTTGCGAGGCATTATGAAGTAACAAAAAACCTATTTATTAAAAAAAAACGTAATAAAATATTTAAAAGGAATATTTATTCCTTTTAAATATTTTTTAAAATCAAAACAACAAAACCAATTCAAGACACAACACGAATCTGAAAACGATAGCCAAAAAAATCGAATCAACTTAAACCAAATCACAAAACAAATCGCAGAAAACCGAAATCGAAAGCAGTAGTCAATATAAATATAACCAACGAAAAAAGAAGTAAGTGTATACGTACCGTATACACTATCTATCTATACTATTAATATTCCTTTGAAATATTGTTAAACAACCTAAAACAACGAAAGCCATTTCACGATTCTAAATAAACAAAATCCAAAATCAAAGCCAGAGTCTAAATATGTATAAAGGAATACCAACCAAATCAACAAAACCGATCCAAGAAAATACACAAATCCGAAAATGAAATATAAATCCATTCAACCTTAACCAAATCACAAAGTAAATAACAAACAACTTAAATCGAAAGCAGGTAGTCGAATAAGCTACGAAATAGAAACAATTTAAGCATATAGGTACCGTATGCACTATAAGCTGACGCGAGGTTCAACGGCGGGAGTTAAGTACATGTCAGGAAAAATTTCGTTACCGCATTTTAAAAACCTAGCAACGACATCTAGCGGAATCAATTTAAACTATTGTGATGGCCCAATATTATTATTAATAATTAAATCC